CCGTTATCGTGTCTTGCATAGTAAATTGTACTAGTCATCTTTTTTTATATATATAATATAATATATTTGGTTTAGACTATATACAGAGATCTGTGGCCGCCTAACAGTTTTAAAATTCTCTCTCGTAGTTTTGCAAAGATGATTTCCGCTGTGAAGTCCAGTACTGTGGCGCCCATTACTAAACCTGTGGATGGTTTCCAATAACTACCATTATATTAAACCTGACCTAATCTAAACTGTCCTAAATGAATTATGGTTCAGGATTCTATATAAGAAGTTTCTGCAATCTTTGCATGTATTTGTGGTGATATTATAGGTCCTTAATTGTATTTCGTCTGAATGCAAAATGTCTGCTAGCCTAAGTACTTCACAATATTAGAGGAAGGGAACAAGCCGCCTTGTGCTCATTGAAGCTACTTTATATCTTAGAAGTACAAGCTTTTCTTTACATGATACGTCGTTAAATATTAGGTTTTAATATTTATGTTTATATTCTTAATATCATTAGGTAAGTCATGATAATTTATGACAAATTCATTCCTTCATTTTTATATCTTCTATAAATTATTATTACATTGTTTAAGAACGTTTTCAGGAAAGAGAAGATATTATTTAGTATACGCCGAATGGACATGTCAGATTTTTTTAATTTGGAATTCTATAATTAATTTTATAGCTTTACAACTCATTTTGAATTATACGTTATTTCTGGTGATATTAATAAGGTTGGTTCATATTTTTGATTTGAAATTGTTTTTGTTTTGTAGTGTGGGATCAGGAATTAACGTAACGTATTGTTTCTTATCAAGAAATTATTTGCATTTAAAATTTAGAATTTTCTTTTTTTTTAACATAAAGTTTGCAAACTTGGTACTGATGATTTAAAACTATTAGCTTGAAAAATCCTTCATCCTCGACTGCTCTCTGGACACTGTAGATTATTTCGGTTCCGAACCCTGCGTCCCGTGGGAATCGAATTGTCAGGAATTGGCGTAGTCATTAAGAGGTTTCGACTGACAGTTGCTGATTCATCTAAATTCTTAAATGCATAACCAATGTTCTGGCATGTCCTGGTTTTCATAAAGAATACAGTGTGCAGTACCTGGTGGGTTTTCATTGAATAGGGGGCTGGACTGATTACATCTTACATAAGAATTTTTTGGTAATGACGTTAGATGACAATGTGTTTTCCACGAAGACATATAAAATGAATTAGCGATTAGGTGCTTTGGTTTTACGGAACTTCTGTAAGACATCCAGTAAAACAGTTTTGATTGAACTGGAAATGTATGGTGGAGACCAGAATTTAACTTGTACTTGGAGTAATTTAAAAAAAATTTAAATTGGCGATGTGATGTGTTGTGACGTGTGAAGTCTAAATGAAGATAATGTGGCAAAGGAAGACAATGTTTGACGTTCGAAAGAGATTGAAACTGAGTGTGGAAGGAAACAGGCAGAGATAAAGATACAAAATGAAAGGAGGGAATAAAGAATATAAAATTACCTTCCTCTGTTCAAAACTAACAATTGTTTTTTATAGTCAATACTTTCAGAAATTTCTTGAGCCTCTCAAGACTGGCTGACAAATTTAAAGGAAAGGAAATCCAATGTCATGTTTCTGTAATTGATCTGAAAATGGAACATAACTTTCAGATTTTTGTTTCCTTGGTTGAGACACTGTGTGCTCTTGCAGGTGATAAGGCGAGTTTCGAAGGACATGCAGAACTGTCTTCACCATGGAAACCATATATCTCGTGCATTACTCAAAACTATTACCGAGAATCTCTCGGTGTGTCCCACTGCGGTACAGTTATAAAAGCTTTTACATTCTATAGACTATAAACGTATCTGTTTTCATAATTCAAATTATTTCCTTTTATACTTTTATATTTATCTCAGTCACAACTTGTCAGTTAGCCACTTTAAAAAGCAATATTTAAATATATAACAACATGAGACTTCTAACAGGAAAAACTTTGAGAGACATTCTTTGTTAGAATAGCTCTCTTAACTACGGTAGACATTTTCAAAATGTTGTTGAACCTGCCAGCTCATTCGCTTGATTGGAGTTAATACGAAATATGGCAAAAGAAATACGTATTGTTTGAACGCCTGCAACGTTGCGATAATTCTACTTTCTGCGGATTTTAGAGCACAGGATTATAAAGAGAACAGAAGCAGAAAACGTAATTAAAGCTCAGTTTTATGAAAGAGAAAAGTAACCAAAACAAGTTGACTACAGAAATTCGGCTTCTCTTTACAACAAACAAAAACCATTGCACTCAATTCCAGTTTACTAAGTTACGAGAAACTTCGTGATTTATACAGGTCTGAATTAAAACATAAAGCTTCTATGGTGGGTAGGATATGTGACAAGGGATGAGAGAAACAAAATATACGTAGGCCCACGGAAATATTATGTAAAAATCTTTTAGAAGAATTTATTTTGGAAGAATAACGAAGATGCAGGTTGTTAATGCAAGGATGGACTGTGATAAAAAGATTCAGATTGTTAATGCAAGGATGGACTGTGATAATCAGAGATGAGACTTTGGTTTAAGATTTACCGAGCTTTGACTCATGTGAAATAAAAGTTAGACTCTTTCCAAGTCCATACTTACAGACAGATACTTGAATGAGAAGAACTTAACTATTACACAACACACTGACTAATTATCTTTGTACCTGTCAGTGGGCGATTTTCGTGATTAAAATATTGTGAGCGCCACTTTGGTCTCAGTAGTTGAAGGCCATGAAATTTGGGGTAATACCAGCAGCGCCTTTATCGACTGATTAAAGTGTGTACAATTGAAAGGAGCAGAACCATTCGGTCCCCAAAACAAACAAATTTGACACTCATTATTATTATTAGGTGCATTTACTACGATCTGTTAAACTACAATAATTAGTAATAATTTTGTTTACTTACCCTATTTTATTGCATATTTGTCTGTATCCGATTTAATTATTGGGGAAAACATATGTGGAAAGTTTCGTCTTTTAGAGTAGTTTTTATACATTCAGTACTATTTGGTTTAAAAGTGTTTCCTTAAGCCAAAAATAAAAATTATTTTTAATTTGCTCAAAACATTCTACATGTAAACTGTATACGACCTAAAAAACATATTTAAGTAATTAAAATAAGTTAATTTAAAATATAAATGTGTTGGTTGTAATATCTATTGGAAACAGATGAAAAGAGGTAAAAATGTATTACATCTACAAACGCTATTAAGGAAATAGGGCCTAATGATGGGATATCTAACGATGATATTGAATTTGAGATCCAATAAAAAGTGGGAACGAAATGAGCATTTGAGTTCATTAATCTCTCCGCGGAGTATTTTTTTCTAATGTACTTTGTTATTTAGTAATGTAATTAGTAACATATATTTTTTAAATTGATAGCTTCTAGTTCATTTAGATGGTTATGTACTTCGTTATTTGCTTTATCGAGTGTTCATTGGCTACAGCTGTGTCTTATTGTAGTGAAAGTTCCAAAGTACACTGCGTACAGTAAATTTGTCATTAGTATGCTATTTGCGATTTGAACTGCAGTGAAAATTTCGTTTATGATCGTCCAGTTTATAAAATCATACAGGCTCGTATATGGTTATAAAATTCTTTGGACGTTCATGCAGACGACATATTTGTAACCCCCATATGTATGTGATTTGAAGAATTCGCGGCGACGTAACTCGATAAAATCATCTCGGTCGATCAGCCGCGTGAAATTATATCATTAGAACGCTTATAATGGGGACAAAGTTGGTCCCTGAAACGTCGGTTTCTTCTTTTAACCAATTGACGACGCTGATCCCCCGAGAATATTTTATTTCACCTCATACATGACTACACTTTGCCATACGCCATGAGCCCATAATTTTAACTTCCCTCAGCGATGACCAATAAACCTCAAATTCTAACCACAACAAAATCCAGTCTCCTTCAACTCCTATCTCCCATAGATCCCGCCTGACATTATCCTCCCATCTACGTCTAGGTCTCCCCAGAGGTCTCTTCCCCTCAGGCTTCCCAAATAGTGGACCCAACCAACCAGATGGCTTACGGAACCCGAAGGTTCATCACCGAATTAACCAAAGCCCTCCACCGGACCCTGTCCTGGGCCAACAAAATCCAGTCTCCTTCAACTCCTATCTCCCATAGATCCCGCCTCAGATTATCCTCCCATCTACGTCTAGGTCTCCCCAGAGGTCTCTTCCCCTCAGGCTTCCCAAATAGTGGACCCAACCAACCAGATGGCTTACGGAACCCGAAGGTTCATCACCGAATTAACCAAAGCCCTCCACCGGACCCTGTCATGAGCCAACAAAATCCAGTCTCCTTCAACTCCTATCTCCCATAGATCCCGCCTCAGATTATCCTCCCATCTACGTCTAGGTCTCCCCAGAGGTCTCTTCCCCTCAGGCTTCCCAAATAGTGGACCCAACCAACCAGATGGCTTACCGAACCCGAAGGTTCATCACCGAATTAACCAAAGCCCTCCACCGGACCCTGTCATGAGCCAACAAAATCCAGTCTCCTTCAACTCCTATCTCCCACAGATCCCGCCTGAAGAGACTATTTTTAACATGCAGTTTAAATAAAAGTACTACATTTCAGATTGGCCGTCACATGAAGAAAGGAATTGCAATTAAAATGTCGGTTTATAGTTTTATTTAATTTTGAAAAATAGAGCGGGAAAAATATCAAATTCTAAGAATTATAAGGTGAATTTTGCCATTACACAGAACCAAGTCACATAATGTTTTTTTGAATAGAAAGACCATTACATTTTTATAGAAGAAATTCATATATTATTTACGCTGTGTGAAATGAGTCGGCACTGTGTATGTGTAATTATCGGAGAAATATATACGGCGAACACCGAAACATTAAAACAGCTTTGTCAAGTTTTATCTTTTCAAAAGGTGGAAGGTTTTACAGATACAGCTTATTTATGAAGCTTTCATATATAATTAAATGCGTACCATGTGCACTCCATTCTTTGAAACATAATTATATGGGAACATCTCATTTGTACATCTGTCTACTTTCCTATCTAGTCAGTGCTTTGTCTTGAAATGATATAACGACGACATATTTGTTTCCGGTTTGTGTCTGAAAAGGAAAACAATAAATTATTTAAATGTGAAGAGGACTACTTCTTCCACCTGCCCTCGTTCTCATCAGGGTTTCTTTCCTTCCAAGTTTCAACTAACGATTTGTTCGAATTTTATTTGTGGCCGATTCATGCTACATGACACGTTCAACTCACCCTCACTGATTTGTATTTGCCTGGCGTTAGTATAAATTATGAAAAATCACATTAATAAGTTTTTTAATCCAGTACGACATCCCACCTAGTTCCAAATACTTCCCTCGCAATCCTGTTCGTAAAAATCCCCAACTAAATTTTCGTGCTCTTACAACTAAGAATATGCCCAATTACAGTAAAATTAAACAACCATCTTAAATTTAAACGTTATATTTGATGTCTGAAACTTCGTTCACATTCATCTGAATTAAATAAATGCTTTTAATATTACAGACTGGGATGTATTGACGCACCAATTTATGAAGCACCCTGCAGTTTCGTGCAGATAAATATCACTTTCGTGACTCAAACTTCTGTGTCATTTTCCACGGTATGTCAAGTTTTCAGTAAACATTCCTATTTTCGTCAAATGCATAGTTTAAACTGTAGTATATTCGCAGTTGTACCATGATACAAGACCTGACGTAAGAATAAATAATAAATTACATGTTTCTCCTTAAAATTATGGCTATTTAATAGACTCAATTCACATACGTCACATAAGAGATTCATGACATATTCCAGTGGATTGGAATGAAAAGACGACCAACAGACATGCAGTGAAAATTTACATGTGACATTGAGAATAAGGTATATTTTTATATGAGACAACGTTATGAAAACTTTTAATCTAATCTGTTGTTTTTTTCATCAAACTGGAAGTAAAAACAAACTTTAAATAACAATAAGTCGAGGCACATGGAACCGTCGTCAAACGAACATCATTGCAGACCAAACATATATTTTATTTATCAGTGTTTGACTTTCCGAAATGAGATGGTAATATTAACTAATGTTTTTAGGTCCAGTCACATCTAAATGTTATAAAAGTGCGTCTGTCAGCTACGTTCTGCCAGTCTGTCCGAATTTAATAGGTGAGAGGGGCTTAAGAAATTTTAATTAAATTTAATGCCGAGGAGATTTCCTAAAATATGCCTGTATATTTCAGTTTTGGTTAATGTCGGAAAATAATAATCGGTAGAATACACGAAAATCTTCATGTATTTCTCTCGCCGAAGTGTTTGGGCGGGGAGATGCCACGGTTACCTAGGGAGTCCCAAACTACATCACTGTCGTCATTCACGACAGTTAAAGTCAAATTCTGATTTGCATTTCATCTAATGCTAACTTTTAATCACATGTTATTTTCTAAAATTTTGAGTTTTCCTTCGACTATGTCCATCTTTTCATATAATTAGTTTCATTTTCACTGAGTTTCTCTTAAACTAATACATTTTTTTATTTTCGTATATCTATGTGCTTATGCTCTGTTGATTCATCTATCATTATCTTACGCGAAGCTAATGAATGAAATGCCGAATAACGACGAAAATATAGCAAAGTTTCGGCGTGTAGTATATTTGTAATAATGGAAAAGGACCGTTGAAATTAAACAGGAAATGGATTCTTTCTTGTCATCAATCTTCCTTTTCTGCACGACATTCGTATATTTATCTTTTGCACGTGTAATGTGAAAGTGATTTAATTGGAGCAGCTATTGTAAAATATGACATTCTATCATCAAACAAAATTTCTGATAACCTGGGTATTTATTTGTAACACACAGAAACAGTGTAACCTATTAGTCTGTAGATTTATTATTTTATATTTTATAATACATACGTAATATTTATTATTCATACGTTATTTAGTATCTCGGTATTAAATGTCAAAATTTTCAGAGTTCAGTAAAGCGAGTAAACAATTACACACGCAGAAATGAGATACAAATACTCGTATTCCACCTATTGTTCTCGAATTATATCGTAAATACTCTGCGAATCTGTGGAAAAAACCTCATCCCGCCTAAGATTCAAACCACGCGATTTCCAACTATGATAATCAGTTACAGTAGAAATTTGATAAACATTCGGCCGGAGTACAGTTTCCTCTGATAACATTGGCCTATATTCTCCTCCTTCACTATTTTTGTGATAATACCGTAGCTGATAATGTTTAAGATTTTATTCTGTTGTCACAAAGCGATCGGATATTATTTTTTTTTCAAATTTCTTCCTATAAAATACTGACGTATCCTTAAGATTAATGTACAACTCAAAAACGTAGTGTACGTAATTACGTTATGAATGGAACACGTGTTGATATTTATTATTTTAGCTTTCCAGTCTAAGTTTACCGACTCGCTTGTAAACAACTGAAAACCTAATTGAATTAAATTTTTTTTGGATATTATCCATCGTCTAGTAAATATAAAACGTAAAACGACATTTCGGAGATGGGACTATATCTCTATCTCCGGAGATAGGGATTAGCTCTATCTAGTGGGCCCAATTGTGTAGGAACCTGAAGACGGAGATAGAGTCTCATCTCCGAAACGTCGTTTTACGTTTTATATTTACTAGACGATGGATAATATCGAAGAAAATTTTTATTCAATTGACTCTTCACCATCGTCAAGAAGTTTTAGATTTGATAAACTAAAAACCTGTCTATCCTAAAAATATTAAATTTTAATAACTTATTTTCTAGTGATAAAGTTCTGGTTATATTGTGTTTATTATAAAGAATTAGGGAAATATTGGGTGTATTTCTACGTAACCATGTTCTTCATTAATAATGTAAAACAGATTAACCTTTAAGTATCTTCTAATAATCTTCGTGCGCTTTCCGTAGTACAATGGAAATACGTCATCACCGTTCATCGTATCTCAAAAACCTAACCGAAAATAAAAGATTCAGAAAAAGCGTCGAAGTAATATATTTCAGTGCAGTAGTTCCCCAAATCCGGATTCGTATAAAAAAATAAGATTCACGACTGTCTATTGTGAACTCAGATTTGGATTGAGATATTTTTCTACATTTTTCCTTTCAAATAGAGTTTCGCGTTGTTAACCGGTTCAAACACATAAATATATGTCACCTTGATATCTTCCCTGTACAAAATACATTAATTCAACAGAAAATATTGTTTTAGAATACTTTGTGACAGTCTAGAAGTAATAGCAGAGACAACTAATTAGAATACAATAAGTTCACTAGACTGCCGGACACAATCACAATGGTAACAAAATTAAGACATTTCGGAACGACGGAATCAGAAAAAATTTACGTTATTGAAGATTAGATTAAATTTGGGATGTGTTTTCTAAAGTTTAATCCAATCTCACCATCTTCTGTCGTAACACATTGTGCCATATTAAAAACAAATAAGGTGTGTGTCAAACGATCCCACCTCCGTTTTTAAATGAGACACAAAATAAGGTCGAAGCTTAAATAACTGAAACAAAGTATACATATATTTTAAATGTCCAATGAATGCAAGAAGGGTCTTTATGGCATCCGTTGTCGCAAGAAACAAACAATGAAAACAAGACAAGATAATAAATTACCTGGTGGACATCTCGTCAGATGAAAATTGTGGGTGCCTAGACGAAATTTAGAACACAGAACAAAAGAGAATTTTTCGCTTTTATCCCAAAGAAAGAAATTGTTCACG